AGGTCACAGGCGGCAGAGTCATACCAATACCTGCTGAGCGCATATCTATCAAGAAGGTTCACAAGAAAATCGACGTAGTCAAAACAGAGAACAAGAATGCTGAAGAACCGGAAGAAATGATCACACTTATTCCGCCTAAGCCGGAAGTATCTCCAAAGCTGGAAAAGTCGGAAGATGGTAAAGGCTTGCAGATTTAGCAAACACCCCTTCAGTTAATGGAAAGGCAGTTGCTGCAGAGAATCAGAATTTTCAGTACTCCCCACTGTATTAGGACTGGGAATGACCTACAGGGATAAGATGTGTTTTGGGAATTGCCTGCTCCTACAGCCTGTGTGCAAGTTGTACGCCTCTACGAGAAGTATATTGAGGGCTCCGCCATCAAGGACGTTCTCACGCTCTACGAATCCGCGATGAAAGTGCCGTTGTTTGCATCAACGCGGTCAGAACTTGGATTGAAAGAAGATGAAACTTCACTGCAAAAGTTTCGCCTAACCTTATGTGTGATGTGTGGTGAGACCTTTTTCTGGTCGTTTTTTGCTTTATTGGATGGGGAACTAAGCACTGCACTTCGTTGGTTGGGTTCCTAGCAAATAATGAACTCTGCTCATCGGTGCTTCTAACGATCTTTGTGCCTGCAGCTAAGCACATACCCGCCTTGCAGCTAGCAACAGGGGAGGAGAAGGAGCAACTAAAGGCTTCCATCGAGAAGAGCAAGGAGGCATGTGGCGTGGTGTACGAGACAACTCAATGGGGTAAGGGGCCTGTCTTGCATGATGCTTAGGGCGACTTACACGTCCCCCGGGGCCAAAAGGCCAAAGCAGCCAAGAAACGAGGAGCAGCGTAGTCTTATCGCCCCATCTGTTACACACTGAGCCTTCTGCAACATGTCGGGTTTGCGAACACATGTTAAGAACTGTAACTTTCCAGCAGAAACAGGTGGAATTTACCTAGTATGGCAATTTCGTTCCTCCGTGTGATGATGCGTTTGCTTTCCAGCCAAGGAAATTGAAGGCGGCACACCTTTGGCTTCTCCAACACGTGAGTAAACTCGATAATTCCGACTTTTTCGCGTCTTAAAAGTCTGCAGATTGATCGCCTCACTAAAACAAATTTGATTGGCTGGCTCCTGCCGGTGTTGATGCGTTGCGATGTGTTCAGCAAACTCACCTGTAACATCGAGCGTGCAGCTGAACTTACAAGTATCAGCCATTTCCCATCGCCTCCTTGGAGGAATTCAACCCCTGCTGCAAGCTGCTGAAAATGAGGCAAAAGCCATAGAGGTCTGCGCCTCAGCTGAAGTACTGGGGAGGTCCCTACAGGATGCAAAGTGCGTCCTTCTTCGCAAGAGCCCAGAAACAAGCTCTCCGTTGCTGCTGGCACTTGGTGGACTGTCCAGGGCAGCGGCAAAAAGGCTACGTATGTCAAAGCATGCCCCTCCTCATCCCCCCCTTGCCTCCTCACCTACAAATTGAAGTCGCTTAGAACCCTAGAACACAGAAGCTATATCTGTATCTATATATATCTGCATTTATATCTATATATTTATGTATCTGTATATCTACATATGTACCTATATCTATATGTCTATGTCTACTCCATACTCGATAAACCATGCACGTTTGCGCTGTTTGCAGGTCA